TCGGGTTGCAACCAGAGTCACGGAACGAATTAAGTTCGTAAACCGAGGTTCCACTGTACTTGAGTTTTAGGGCGGTGGAAAATATATTCTGTTCTTTCATTTTAGGAGTAAAACAGAGTTGATTTACCCTTTCTGTTATTGGCTTCTTTACCATAATATAGAGGGAGGGAGGGAGGGGTCTCCAATATAGTAAAAAGGAAGAGAAAAACATTGTTCATTTCCACACAGGGTTGAGAGTTGATGTAAGATTGGCAATAATTTACCATTTCCCACCACAATACTCACTTTCTCTTGATTGTTCCCAAGCAACTGTTATTCAAAGCCATGCTGCTTCTGGATTTTAAGGCAGCTCACCCAAAAGAAGTGATATGCATCACTTCTTTATATGTTCAGGTTTGGTTACAGTCATACATATATATCTGATCTCTCAAATGGACTGCTACAATTTCTGGGACCCCAAAATAACTTGGGAACTTCAAATTCCAAAAATAACTTGGGAATACTGTTATTTGAATTTCGATGTTTTTTGCATTTATCAGTACTTTTAGTTTGCTGAAATGTGATTCAATAATTGGTTAATTGCATTTGTTCCCAATATTAGTATGCAGATGTCAGCTCTTTTGAGGGAAGAGAAAAGTTAGGATGAAAATCCCATAGATAAAGTCTTCCATGCCCTCCCTCAACTTCTCAAAAGCATCTAAGTCTTCAAAGTCCTCATCACATCTTGTATCAATAAAAATAATAATAAAAACAAAACAAAACCTCAAGTGGGGAACAAAATAAAGTAGCATATTTATGGTTTCATTGGTTATGATAGGTATAAGGGATGTGGTTAGAAACATGAAATTTGTTCAGGTGAAGTCTTGAGCAATAGCAGCACTGGGGTTGAAAAGAGAGGCTGGTGGAAACCACTGAGCTGGAGCTGGTAACCTATTGCTGGACAAGAGCAGGGACTTCAAGTGACTAGTGAGACAGGGGTGCTTAGGTGATGGTGCTAGGTTCCTGGTAGATGTGGTGGATGTGATGGGCAAAGCTGGTGAGGCTCTTATTCACTTATTGAAGAGCAGCTCTGGTGAGGTTGGCAGGACATTCGTGGTTTGCTGGTTGGGAGAATCATGAGCAGTGGTGGCAGGGGCAGACTGAGCATCAAGTGAGTGAATAGTTGGTACAGGGGTTTTGGGCCTAGGAAGCTGGGTGTTAATCAGATGCAGCTCCTTGGGACACATGCAGGTTGATTAGGACTGGGTGATGTGAACTGGATGAGTAGTTCCCAGGGCCTGGGGATGACTCTTTAGAGATTGGGAAACATTGAATTTATGAGGATTGGAGGGCAGGTGGGGATTCCAGTGGGGACAGGTAGAAGGATGCAAAGAACATAGCTGGGGAAAGGTAAAGAGTGAGTCCAACTGAAGATGTGTACAAGCCTATATTAAGGCCTATATTGTAGTGATAAGGTTGAAAAAACTTAATTATTTTTCTGCTCTTATCACATCCACATAATGCCAAGCAGCAGTTTTTTAAGGATTATGTGGGCTAGTTTAATAAGGAGGTATATGAAGAACATTGTGCCATTGTGAGAAATATTCGGGGCATCTGACTAATAAAATCGCTTGAATCCAATCTGAGCTGGACTCTGGCTGAGCAGTTCCTATTAAGTTGGCTGAGACATGGTTATTTGGGAAATGTTTGAGCCTGTGAATCTCAAAGAAAGGGACAGGATTCTTGGGACTGTTAGTGCCTCCACCTGTATGTCAAATCCTTGTTCTTCCTGGCTGGTCAAGGCTGCCTAGGACATGATTAGTGGATAGATTCAAGAGGTGGTAAATGTATCCTCGAGTGAGGGAATGATTCCACCTGCCCAGGTGGAAATAGTGGTAACTCTCATCCTCAATAAGCTATTTCTAGACCTAGCAATACTGAATAATTTTTTATTGGTCTCCAGCCTCTTCTTCTGGGAAAGGTTGGGGAGAAGCTTCAGGAAGCAGAATATCTGGAACAAATGGACTTCAGCGTATGGTACTGAGACAGTATTGATCACACCTAGGGATAATCTGTGGTGGGACTGAGGGGTGGTGCAAGTCACTTGGTTCTGTATGATCTCTCAGTGGCTTTTGATACCATGAATCAGGGTATTCTTTGGACTATCTCCAGAATTGGGAAAAGGGCACCGTATTACAGTGGTTCTCCCCATTTCCCCAGAGTTGGCTCCAGTTTGTGGTGGTAGAGGGAAAGTAGTGAGCCCAAACCTTCTGCTTTGCAATGTTCCTCAGGACTCAGGGTTTTCCTCACTCCTATTTAGAATCAATATAAAGCAATTGAGCAAGGTTCGACCAGTGCCATGAGTCAGGTATCATCAATATGCAAACAATACCCAGTTGTATATCTCCACCCTGGGTAGGACAGCCAATGCTACTGAAACCTGCTGCAATGATTTGGATGGGAAAGACAAAGCTCACAATCAACTTCAGCAAGACTGAGTAACTACAAATTCAAGGAGTTTGAAAATTCCCAGGGATTTTCCAACTTTAATTCATGATGGGGTTGCACTTCCCCAGCTGGAACTGGTACATTATTTGAGGGTCCTTCTGAACTCTTTGCTCTTGCTTGATGAGCAAGTGGCAACCATGGCCAGGAGGGCCTTAACACAGATTCATCTGGTATGCCAATCATACCCTTTCCTGGATTAGGAGGCCCTTCTCATGGTCACTCATTTTTTAGTCACCTCTTTTTTGGACTACTGTGATGC